TTAAATACGCCACTGCGATAATACATAATATATAAGAGTTATTGTTGGAACGAGGGTTACATTAATAGCGTGGGTACACAGTTTTACGCATGGAAAGTAGTGGCGAGGTCAGCAACAACTTGTCTGGGGTTAGCGTGCGGAGTAGCGTGACGGACATGCTCAATAAACGACGCTCAAACGAAACACTCTGACCAGTCCTCCCTTCTTACATTTCCAGTTTTGGTTTCCTATGAGTTGACGGGCAATGTGGCTCATCTCCGGGGAATTCAAGTTGTAGAAATAGTGAACTCTGAGAGTACCGCGATTGCACCTGAAATAAACACAAATCCACAGCCACGCGCACATGTTATCTTATCGGCAGGCTATTCGACGAGTGGACGTGAACGTTTCAAACGACCAAATACACGTTTTCCGTTTAAGGGTGTGGATTACGCCTTTCGGAAAGGATAACGACGATGATGATTATGATGATGGTCAACATTGTGGCAAATGCGATACGTGTACAAATGTAAATGACACAATATTACGTTGAAGCGGAACGCGGTGCGAGTCGGAAGGGTTGCCCTGTCCAAATCGATATTTATTTTATTTTTACTTCCCGGTGGGACAAGTGGACGTGTACACCGCTATAACCTGCGTGATGAACTATAATATCGCGTCGATGGTCCGGGTGCTCCTGCTCCTGGTGCTGCTCGGACACAGATTTACTCTTCTTGACCGTAGTGAACCATACACCATCTGGCAAAGAACACAGAGATGCTGCCGGCCACGAGGAACAACGGAATAAGTGACGGGTTGTAAAAGGCCAGCAGCAAAAACAGAAACAGCTGGATGGTTACTGCTGTGTTCAAGTAGAAGTTTGGGGCTTCGGCGGCTAGTCTGGAGATCAGGACGAACGAATTGTAAGCTACGATAAGGAGAAAGAGGAGCACCAGTGACAATAAGAATAATAATTCGTACAATACTTCTTGGCTGAGGTTGGCTGCGGCCTCCGAGACCCAGTTGATAATTTTTGAGAGATCCAGAGTTTACGATAACCTGCACCGCAGGTGACTCGGCGGGCTCTTGACTGTACGACTGGACTGAACTGGACCGAATGGATCGACTGGATCGACTGGGCTGAGTGGAACGACTGGACCGACTGGACTGACAGGACCGACTGAACTGACTGGGTCAATTGAATCGACTGACTGGCTGTTTATCGGGCGCTGAAGCGGCTGGTGTGTTGGGTGACCTGTGAGACAGTGCGCGCGTATAAGTTCGCCAGCGCCGAAGATTGCGGAAAGTCGCCGCCTCGGCAGGAGGGCGTTTTTGGTGGCGCGGACGACAGCGCGCGCCCCCCATTGGTCGCCCGTGTCCGAGGCGGCAACCCGACGGGCGGCACGTCTGCGCCCGGAGGTCTACGGGGGCGGCCGCTTGGCTGCTCGTCGTCGCTTTCGCGTGTACGTGCGGGTAGGCGATGGGTGAGGTGGACAGAGTGAATCCTTTGCGAGCCTTTTAGAGATTCCCGTGTGGCGGCCCGCGGGTAAGCCGTCGAAACACGTCGGCACGATTTTGATGGAAAACCGAACCACCGCGCGCGTCCCCGGAGACCGCTGCGACTGCGGTGATATCGCTGTGTGTAACACACAATGTACGGTGCACACTACCCGCGTCCCGGATTGATAATAGCCGAGTAGCTGTCGTTCGGACATCGTTTTCGATGTACATTAGTTATAAACGACGTGCCGTTAATTACTTTGTTGTTACATCATTTGGAAATTTGAGTTTCAATCGATTTCATTTTATCTTTTCGGTCGTTCTCTATAACGTTTTTGAATTTAATCGAACCGTAATACCATCGGAGTACACGTAGTAATTGAAAATTCTTTCGGTACTGAACACGAACATATTAGGGCGTTGGTGATTAGACGGAGAATTCAATTACGAATGAAATGATTCACATGCATTAGTTGTTCGTCGAAGACTAGCGGATCGCTCAGCCTATATATGTGGAGGAAAACGCGAATTTTCGGAGATACAATTATTTAGAATACAACCCCAAAATTGTTGATACCGGTTGTCAACAGTAAAAATTCCGGTACTTTGGTAGACATACGATAGAGAATGGTCATTATCGTTGATACCTTTTCGAATATTACGCTTTATTTTTATAATTTCAACGTTTTCAATCACATTGTAATCGAAATTATCGTTTGGTACGCAAATAATTCGTCAATAAATATGACAGAAAAGTGGCGTCCGAGTATACCCGAAATTACCGAATCGGAGGCGATCGGACTTATGCGTGCGTAGACGGTGACGTTACGTGACTGCGACAGACGGCTAATAGTGGGTTTCAAGTCCCTTTACAAACATACCAACTTTGTTATTTTTGCGTAAATAAATTCATTAATGTTAATAGATGACCTCACTTTGCTTACCCAAATTAAGTTTTTTTCCGTACCACTCGTTCATCTGCTCTTCTTATCTTACCCGCTAAACCTAAACTACGCTTCAAACCACCAAATGTCTTGGAAATGAGCATCAATATATATTATTTATATTATATTTAATTGTAAAAACTGGACATGTGTATCACTCCAGTTAAGAAGAAAAAAATTATAATTATGTTTTACTTGTTTTCCGGTGGGTAAATGAATTAAATAAACACAATATTATTCTACGGGTTGTAAATAAAAATCGAGTTTCACGTTTAACTATCCGTATTAATCAAACATTTATTTAACTGCGATTACTTGCATAATAATATGGCCCCGGGCTTACCTTATCATCGGTGCCGTAATTGTTCCACTGCACCGACACCGGTAGATCTAACCCGCAGTGATCTGCACAGCCATATATCACGTACGGTGGCGATAGATGAATCGAATAATAATATTATGTTGATTAGCATATTATGTTCTACTCAGATTTTAGATGGTACGTTATTATAACGTCTCGTAACACAAACCCGTGTGGAACCTAGGTTGCTGCTGTGTTGCACACAAGTGCCGTTGATCTCGGTGGTCCGTGTTGCACATTGTGCGATACATTATTTTGACCTGGACAGCATACCAATATTCGAGTACAGTATTTACCACCGATGGGCCTTGTGAATTAAATTTGTGTAAACGATTACGCCAATACCTGTGTGCTTTTTTAATTCACATTTTACCAGGTCATTAAAAGTTTTTTGTACTTCGCAAGACTCTTTGGTACGTAGCTTATATTATTTTATTAAAAATCGTGCTCGGTATGCGCTGTACACCGTAGGTTCGAAAAGATTTCTTTGTCGATTGAATTACTGTAAGCGTCATACAACATGAACCTTTGGACCCTGCGACAAAAGTTTTACGCAGCAACTTTTTTAGCCGAAAATGAATGTAAACGATACGAAAACTCATTATGGTTTTTCTTAGTAATTGTTCCGATATGATTTTTTTTTTTTTTTCATTTTTATTTTCTCAACAAAAAGCAATTTATCGTTTAATTATTATTAAAATAAATATCCTTTTTAAATTATATTACTACGCATTTCGATTGATTATAGGTACGATCACCGGCCACAGTAGTTTTTTGTCATTAATTGACTTCGTTACAATCGCAGAATTCACTGCCAAAGCGACGCAGTGTCCTTTGAGGTTTTCTTGCCGACCGCAAGTAATCAGCACCGAATAGGATTCTTTTTGAAATTCAAATAATGTAAGCCGGGGGAATTGCATGGAACTACGAAAAAAAAAAAAATAAGAAAATATAAAAAATATTGAGAAAGACATTGGATAGAGAGGAATGAGGTGTGGTGGAAGTAGATATAACTATGCGTTATCGGTTCGAAAAAATATGATTACCTAATGTTTGTTTTATTATTATCAAAAATGTTTTACCCGATACAAGGGTTGACTATGATAACTTTGAAAATGTGTTTCCTTCTACACATTTCCTAACGCCTTATAAGTAATAAATAATTTCAAATACTCAAATAAGAACACACATTTTTAATATTTTCGTCGGCTTAACTTAATTATATAATTATTTGCGTGCATATTGTTAGTAAAATATAAATTATAATTTCTCAATGCGTTTAAGAATATGATGATTTAATTCGAATGTATCATTTTTTTGTAATTGTTTTATTTATTTATTTATTTTTTTGTTAAAAAAAATCTATAACATCAAACTTATGTATTAGACCTAAACTGGACCTATCATATAATTTACAATGTACACATTACATATCTTATATCATATAATTATGTATATAATTTACAATCTCACTTAATACTTAATCATACTCAATACAATAAAAACAATACTGTGTATTACTGTTCTATTTTATTTTCACCCTGATTCGTTGCGGAGTCGATAGGTTGTTTTTAAACTACTTGTACCGACGGAATCGATGATGGTGGATTCGATATACCGTATACTATAACATAAAAAGATCTGGTGGAACAGATGAAACCCCAAACAGATCATTTGATAGACTTCAAACACAGGAAATGTATCTAATATTTCTATACCTTCTATGTCTTAAAACCTTTATATCTTCTATACTATGTATTTTTCTGTACTTGAACCTCTTAAACATTAATATAAATAATATAAAAAATAAAACGCACCTTTAGTTATTGATACGAAATTTTATCAAAAACATTTATTTTATATTAAACTTAATATAAAAATAATGCATTAGGTTTTATAAGTTTATAATAATCATAGAAATATAGTAAATTAAAGTTTATGACATTTATTATAATACAAAATTACAAATATTGAAAGTTCAGTTTTAATAGAGCAATTACGTACCACGGTAACAAAATATATATGTATATATAAAAGTTACAAAATATATACAAGTAGATAATAATGTATTAACTAGTATGTGACAAAAGAATATTATTGTTATAATTTGGATATCCTAATGATTATAATTTTTTTTTTTTTTATATAATTTATGTATTAAAATAACGGTTGAAATAAAACAAAAATATAAAAAAATTACAATATATACAGACGATTTCGAGTGTCCAATTTAAGTGCTAAAAACCAGCTGTCAGAACTTTAAATGAATCCGATCGTCGGAGCAGTGTGGTTACGACTTTTTCTTTGTCATTAGGTAGGCTTTTGGGTCGTTGTTCTATGGTACTACGAATAGTTTATCCTGATTCTGAAGCACACGACGACGAGGATGTGGACACCGGACGGGCGGCTATAGACATTTCTACAGAGGACGATTGCCTCGAAGAGGAGGATGTTCGAGGAAGATGTTCCTCTGTGGACCTATGAAGCATCGATTCCGATTCTGAAACTTGCGACACCGGCCGGCGACGAAGGCGACGGCGCGGCCGGGCCATGCGCCAAAAACGTCGATTTTGTGGCATGAACGTCGATGTACGCGGACCGTTCGTTTGGGCCCGCAATGTCGATACGATTTCATGACGTAGGGCAGCCATCCCAATTGGCTTAAATGGAACCGGATGCGATTTCATCGAAAAGAAAAGTTGAACAGGTGATAATGGCTGTAAGGGTGAGAAAAATAAAAACAATATTGTATCATAAATTACACTTCGGTACGAAGAATAACAACGGTTAAGCATATAAAAACTTACGTCTATTTTCGTGAAAGGTTTTGAACAATGTATGTTATTGGTCACAGTTTTCGGTTGACGAACCGGCTCAAAAGAAATATATTTATTGGCCGAAAGCGACAGATGACCATTCCCATCTGTTAATCCGATTTGATTATTGCTTTTGATCACATCTAAAAGCGGCCACACATTGTAGTTTCCCAACGGATTGCCGTGTTTAACAAACACCCATACATATTGAGGATCCACTTTTAATTCTCCCGTTTCGCATAGACAATAATCTTTCGTGTCGTCGTTCCAGTTTTTGTCGAGTTTTAATGTTTCGTCGTCACTACTGTCATCCATATCGTCAAAGTTCATTCTTACTGGTTCATGAGGGTAGTTTACATAACACGATGATGGACACGTACTTGGGTTTTCCTCAATTTCATCATATGGCTTGCCGATAATCACGCCACATAAAAGTGCCCAATGTGCATTTTTTCCACCATTCATAATCGGAATGTTCTTAGAAGCGTCGATGTCAAGGCTACAACATGTCGATTAATTTATAAGCTTTTTATTGCTATTACTTAGGGATAATTAATATAAAAATATAAACATTTTCAAATAAACTTAAAAACGGAAAAACCTTAGTAATTTAGTTTTAAGAAAGTGGAGTAATATTGAGGAAATCTCGTAAATCAATTTAGTTCAACTGCCATTTTATATTAATGTTGATAACGATTTTATGTTTATAACAGTATGATGTATGAATAAATTACTTATATTAAAAGTAAGGAAAAGCACCAACAGTAGTACATTTGTTGATTATAGCTGTATGGTTGTTGTGGTATAACCACAGTTAAGAACTTTACTTAAATAATATTTCAAGCATATATTATAAGCTTAGAATAGTTTATAGACATTTATTGTGACGAAGAAACAATTTTGCTTTATAAATTAATATCAGATAACTATTTAATTAATATAAAATATTAATCATAAAATTTGCATTTAACATAGATATATATTTTATACATAATACAAATGTAGTTGGCTATTAAATTGTCTTTAGTTATTTCAACATTCATGGGCAAGAGTAGGGCGATAAAAAAATAGTTCTATCCTATACAATAGTTGGTGCAAACATATAATACTAATAGTGTATAAAAATAAACTTACCAAATTGCAATCAAAAACCCCTGCTTCAATTGATTTACCAAAGTACACGACCATAATGGATCAGTTCCGGAGATGTAAAAATCATCCGTACTTAAATCTGACATTGATTCATTTCTATTTTCCACTTCATCATTGGTATTAACGAAACGGTCACCTGTATAAGCCTGCAATCGTTCGTTATTTCCACTGACCCAATCGTTTGGTTCACTACATCCGAGTCGTCCTTCCTCTGGTATTGGTGAAAAATAATGATTGTTTTCATTATTGTCGTCGATGACTATGACGTCATCATTATTATAAACATCTGTATTGCGGTCTTCGCTATTATTGGATGTTGCGCTAAATTGTTGAGTTAAAGGTCTCTCGTGTTTAATTAATTCTACCCGATCTATCAGCTTAATCTTATATCGACCAGTATGTTGTAAATTCATTAAGTCGGTCATAGACATAACATCAAGTACTTGATCATAGTTCGAGTAACCCAACGTTAAAGCATAGATTTTCAGTGCCTCGTACGTAGGTGGTTCAATCAATTTCCGGACACAACACGGTTCTAAAGCACCAACGTAGTTCAACCAATCCAGGTGCAGTCTATACTTTAAGGAATCATCCACGGTCCCTTTGCGATCAGTAGCATTTGTAATTTCTAAATAATTGTCGAAAATGTCGCTTGTTGTAGTGCTAGTGTCGCCGATCGCCGCCTCATAAAATGTAAGCGGCCTTAAAGACATTAAGACTGTCTCTCCACAGCTATTTTAGAACAAAACAAAAAATGATAGCAACATATTATAAAAACGTATATTATGTTTAGGTATAAGTAAATAAAGTTAGAGGTGTACTTTTTATTTTAGGCTATAATTTATTAACAATTTTATAATCTATATATGCTGTAAATAGATACAAAATTATTTTTATATTTTTATACAGAGAGCATATCAATAAAAACATTCATTTTTCTGTATCTTACAACAAAATATTTTAATGATGAATATGAAAAATAAGTGCCGATGACTAGAGATGGTACAGATTAACTAAGAAGATCGACTTGGGTGGCATCCTTTTTCTTTTTATCGTTAGTAGATTGGCAAAAACGTGTTTAAATACTTAATAGGTTATATCATTGTTGCCTTAAAATTATTTCATATAATGTAATTTAATTTTAAAATACAATTTGGTATCATTTTTTACTACCTTTTCAGCGACAATGGTTCCTACAAAATCACCTCTCTTATAAAATGTTTCAAATCTACTTTTTATAATTGTCGCTTGATATTAATTATTAACTATACATGTACATTTCATGCTATTGACATTTTTATTATATACAGGAAAAATTATTTAAAAATAATTAAGACACTGTGTACAGCATCATTGGTTTTTTGCAACCAAATCTAGGTATCATTCGTATATTTGTACGAAGCTCGACAACCGACGGTTCACGTTTACAGTAAACAATCTATTGACATACGAATAACTTAAATGAAAATATTAAAATAAAAAAAGGAATTCGGTAGTGATTCAAGCCGCGAAACAATCCGAATAATTTCATATGATAATAATAACTACAAACAGATTAATTTTGATCAGGACATTGACTCGATATTCATAATTTACAAATATGTATATTATTATTATAATAACGAAATTGATATTTTTCCGGATTTAGGGTCCTTTATTTCATTATTATAATAAAGTCTTGTCAAATTATTTTACTAAGTGTATTTTATTTTATTCACTCTACTTGACGTCCGTTTTCGAAGAAGAGATTTTCTATCTTTCTGTAAGTTCTTATCTAGGACACTGCACTTCATATGACAAATAAAGTCATAACCAATTGAAAAATAAAGGACAAAAGATATGGTAGTACTACTGTGTTTGGCAAGTTTTCACGCATGCCAGAAATATAAGTACACACATATTTTTACAAAATACATCAGGTAAATGATTATATCTATCTTAGTTTCAATAAGAACAAAAATGTAACACTGGGTAAATTAACTAATTTTTTTAACTTGTTAAGTTCAGTTAATAAAAAAAAAAAAATTAAGTTACGTTTAAAGTTAGTTTTCTTTTTAATTAATTTGTAAAAGTTACAAGTTGATTAGAAAAAAAGTAACTTAACTTAGTTAAAAATAAGTTACTATTTTTCAAATAAAACTAATAATGATGCCTTTTGTTAAAGCTTAACAAATAATATAATATAATAATAATAATCCCATGCTATCATAGTTAATACTGGAAGCTATTCTTAAAATTAAAATAATAATAAAAATAAATATAATCTTACGGCTTAAACAAATGTATGTTATTCTATTAACTGCTGTAGGTACTTACATATCTTAATAAATTTTAAGATCCAACAAAATATTTAAATTTAATTGTTAAATATAATTATTATCTACAAGTTTTGATCGGTAGTAATATAATATTTATTTTTTAATTTTACGTTGGTTCTACTCGTTAAATTATAATAATAAAATTCAGGTTATAAATACGTAATAATCAAATTGAGGCTAAAAATATGTAATAATATTAGAAGTACACATTACTTGTAATACTTTCAGCACCAGGAAGTAATTTGAAAAAAATATTCTGAAATATAACTTTCGAGGACACAACAGACTCGTTTAAATTATTTGCACTGCCATGCCGAGCCACCAACGTTATTATTACAAATTTCATTTCTATGAATTAATATAATAATATGTTTAAAAAAAATTTTAATATTATCATATGAGTAATGAGTTCACAAATGTATTGGATACTGGATACCTGTCTTATATTATATTTCTCTTATCTCAATAATAGTTAAGCCTATGGCCTTTTTTCTTTAATCTTTAATATCTGTACATAATTATAAATTATTATTTATAACTTATAATGACTGAATAACATGCTTATTCATAAGTAGTTTAATATTCGTAATTTATAAGTTGTATTAGCCATTAGATATATGCATTTATATACATTATTTGGATACTTATAGAAATCCAAGAATCGTGGGAAACAGTTCGACGGTCTACGATTATTAATTTAGAACATTTATTATTATTTAAAATACCTACATTCAATCACACCATTATAAATAACATTTGACGATTGCACTAATAATTATTAATGTTTAACGGATAAAAACTGTAAAAGATTATTTCCAAAATATTAAACGGTCATAATATATTTTGTCCTATAATCATCGCACATATTATATGCGCGCGCGCGTGTACGGTGTACACTAAAACACCCATGGGAAATCCAATGCGGACTTACCAGACTTCGTTCTGTTCGGGCAGTTTGACTGGTGACAACCAGCCGAACAACTTCAACGGCGGTGCGTCAACCGGGTCGCAGTAAAAATGTTTCCACGTTTCAAACGTTTGCCACCGGAGCGTCAGCCGAAGGTTGAGGAGTCGCAGCGTGGTCAGTTGCTCGATGAGCCGAAGCATCGCGAAAGATATCGATCGAGCGTCCTTCAGCCGCGCGATATGCCGCCTCACCTTGTGCACAGCGCGATGGTTGCCCGACACCTCGACGTCCCGGTGCCATAGCTCGATGCACTTCCGGCGTGCTTCTCGCCCGGCCGCGGACTGCAGCTCCGCCAGTTCCTGCTCGTCGACCGGCTGACCGTCTAACGCATCGCGCGCTTCTCGCCTGGCGCGCCGACCGAGCCGGCGGATGCGCCGACCCAAGTGGTACGTCCTGAGGTACGCGTCGAAGTCCTTGAGCTTCGAGCGATCGGCGGCCGTGAGCCCGGTGCCGGGCCGCAGCACGTGCAACCGGTTCCGCGGCTGGACCTCGGGGTCGGACTCGCAGCTGCACGACGAGTCGGTGACCGGGATCAGGTCGCACGTGACGCCCGGCCGGTACCCGTCGTCGCCGGAGTCGCCGCCGCCCGGCGAGTACCCGTCCCACTCGCTGTCGCCGTCGGTCCCCGGGTCCGGGAACCAGTGCTGCGGTATCTGTCCGGCTGCGTTGAGCGCGGCGTACGCGACGTTCGGCATGGGCCTCGGCCACCCGGAGATCCAGCCACGCGGCCCCAGCACCCGGCGCACCGCTCGCACGGCGGACGCGCGACCGGGCAACGCGCCGTAC